TCTTCAGGGCAATACTTGTCCAATCTGGATCATTGTGGGGAGGATAATTGACCCAGAGGAGGCTGTTGCTTCCACTTCCATTTGCAGTGGGTTTAAGAAATTTGAGATGGACTGGGAGGCACTGTCCTCCTCCCTGCTTCAGGATGGATGAGAGCAAGGCTGGGAGAAGACCCCACTTCTCCTCTTGAGTGGATGATGGAAAGGAGGATCAACTTGTGGGAAATTATTACTCACTTACACCATGCTGAAGTGGAGAGAGTGGGGTAAAGAAAGAAAAGTAACATTCTGGTTCCTTTCATATATGTAGTCTGTTCTGTCAAATCCTACTTGTTTCTGTCTGAGGTTGGTTTTTTATCAAATACCTGTCCTGTTGCAGAAAAATGTATCTTTGACATGCAAAGGTTTTGTTTTGTTGGCAAACCATGGGAGGATGCTTGTGAAGGGAGCACACCCTTGTTAGAGACTTACTGGCTGGAGACTAGCATATTTTGCATCTTATCAAGGACTTATTTGTAAAGGTTCCTTAAAAAGTGTATTCATTTAACTGTTAACCTTGACATTTGACATTAGTTGACACATGCATTAGATACAAAATTGTTGTAGTCTTCCTACATGCTGCATCTTGCTAGACAACCATTCAGAATCTTAACATCTGTGTATTCTATTGCTTATCTTTTCTGTTGGATGATAATACAAGATGGGGATTATTTTCTTCTTCTTAATCCTACTGTCCTCTGGCTCCTTTCAAACTGCCTTCAAACACACTCCACTGCCTCTCTTATTCTAGAAGCCCAAGACTTTCCTCACTTCCTCTTGTCCCCTCAACTGTTGCTGCATCTTCCTCCTTCTCTTCATGCTCATGCTCCTCGTGAGTGCCATTGATTCTCATAATCTTTGCTTTCTGATTTATGGATCCTTCCTTAAGGGTGGATCTATAAATGGAGATTCCCTATGTCCTAATAAGGAGGAGAGGATTGAAGATGATAAAATACAGGAAGGATATGATGAGAAACAGTCAAATGGAAAAAAAGTCCCATTCAATTATATCATGTAATGGCAGGCAGCTAAAAAGTGACAAGTTCTTAAAATGCTTATATATCAGTGCTAGAAGTCTAAATAATAAGATGGGTGAACTAGAGTGCCCCGTATTAAATGAGGATATTGATATAATAGGCATCACAGAAACTTGGTGGAATGAGGATAATTAATGGGACACAGTAATACCAGGGTACAAAATATATCAGAAGGATAGAACAGGTCGTGATGGTGAGGGAGTGGCACTATATGTGGGGGGGGGGGGAAGCGCAGAATGAAATGAAGTAAAAATCTTAAATGAAGCAAACTGTACCATAGAATCTCTATGGATAGTAATTCCATTCTTGAATAATAAGAATATAGCAGTAGGGATACGTTACAGACCACCTGACCAGGATGGTGATAGTGACTGTGAAATGCTCAGGAAGATTAGAGAGGCTACTAAAATAAACTCAATAATAATGGGGGATTTTTAGCTATCCCATATTGATTGGATACATGTCACCTCAGGAAGGGATGCAGAGATAAAGCTTCTTGGCACCTTAAATTACTGCTTCTTGGAGCAGCTAGTCCTGGAACCCACAAGAGGAGAGGCAATTCTTGATTTAGTCCTAAGTGGAGCACAGGATCAGGTCCAAGAGATGAATATAACTGGACCGCTTGCTAATAGTGACCATAATTAAACTTAACATTCCTGTGGCAGGGAAAACACCACAGTGGCCCAGCACTATAGCATTTAATTTCAGAAAGGGGAACTACACAAAAATGAGGAGGTCAGTTAAACAGAAATTAAAAGGTACAGTGCCAAGAGTAAAATCCCTGCAAGCTGCATGGAAACTTTTTAAAGACACCATAATGGAGGCTCAACTTCTGTGTTTTTTAATTTGGGGTATACATTTAAGAGAACCAAAAAAAAGCCACTGTGGCTAAGCAACAAAGTAAAAGAAGCAGTGTGACAAAAAGGCATCCTTTAAAAAGTGGAAGTTAAACTCTAATGAGGAAAATAGAAAGGAGCATAAACTCTGGCAAATGAAGTGTAAAAAAGAATTTGAAGCTAGTCAAAGACTCAAAAAGTAATAGCAATTTTTTTTTTAAAGTACATCAGAAGCAGGAAGCCTGCTAAACAACCGGTGGGGCTACTGGATGATCGAGATGCTAAAGAAGCACTCAAGGATGATAAGGCCATTGTACAGAAACTAAATTTAATTATTTTCATCGGTCTTCATGTTTGAGAATGTGAGGGAGATTCCTAAACCTGAACCATTCTTTTTAGGTGACAAATCTGAGGAACTCTCCTAGATTGAGGTGTCATTAGAGAAGGTTTTGGAACAAACTGATAACCTTGAACAGTAATAAGTCACCAGGACCAGATGGTATTCACCAAGAGTTTTGAAGGAACTCAAATATGATTTTGCAGGACTACTAACTGTCATCTGTAACCTATCCTTTAAATCAGCTTCTGTACCAAATGACTGGAGAATAGCTAATGTGACGCCAATTTTTAAAAAGGGCTCCAGAGGAGACTCTGGCAACTACAGGACGGTAAGCCTGACTTCTTTACTATAGTTTCAACCTGTTTGCCCAGTACTGAACAAAATTGTCAGACACATACGTGAACATAATTTGTTGGGGAATAGTCAACATGGTTTTTGTAAAGGGAAATCATGCCTCATCAATCTACTAGAATTCTTTGAAGGGGTCAACAAGCACGTGGACAAGGGGGATATAGTGTATTTAGATTTCCAGAAAGCCTTTGACAAGGTCTCTCACCAAAGGCTCTTCAGCAAAGTAAGCAGTCATAGGTTAAGAGGGAAGGTTCTCTCATGGATTGGTAACTGGTTAAAAGATAGGAAACAAAGGATAGAAATAAATGGTCAGTTTTCAGAATGGAGAGAGGTAAATAGGGTGTCCCCCAGGGGTCTGTACTGAGCCCAGTCCTATTTAACATATTCATAAATGATCTGGAAAAAGGGGTAAACCGTGAGGTGGCAAACTTTGCAGATGATACAAAACTTCTCAAGATAGTTAAGTCCCAGGCAGACTGCGAAGAGCTACAAAAGGATTTCTCAAAACTGGGTGACTGGGCAACAAAATGGCAGATGAAATTCAATGTTGATAAATGCAAAGTAATGCACATTGGAGAACATAATCCCAACTATACATATAAAACGATGGGGTCTAAATTAGCTATTACTGCTCAAGAAAAAGATCTTGGAGTCATTGTGGATAGTTCTCTGAAAACATCCACTCAATGTGCAGCGGCAGTCAAAAAAGCAAACAGAATGTTGGGCATCCTTAAGAAAGGGATAGATAATAAGACAGAAAATATCCTGTTGCCTCTATACAAATCCAGGGTATGCCCACATCTTGAATACTGCGTGTAGATGTGGTCATCCCATCTCAAAAAAGATATGTTGGACTTGGAAAACGTTCAGAAAAGGGCAATAAAAATGATTAGGGCTATGGAACGGCTGGCGTATGAGGAGAGATTAAAAAAATTGGGCCTTTTCAGCTTGGAAAAGAGACGACTAAGGGGGGATATGATAGAGGTCTATAAAATCATGACTGGTATGGAGAAAGTAAATAAGGAAGTGTTATTTACTCCTCCTCATAACACAAGAACTGGGGGGTCACCAATTGAAATTAATAGGCAGCAGGCTTAAAACAAAAGGAAGTGTTTTTTCACACAACGCACAGTCAACCTGTGGAACTCTTTGCTAGAGGATGTTGTGAAGGCCAAGACTATAACAGGGTTCAAAAAAGAACTAGATAAATGCATGGAGGATATGTCCATCAATGGCTATTAGCCAGGATGGGCAGAGATGGTGTCCCTAGCCTCTGTTTTTCAGAAGCTGGGAATGGGCAATGGTGGATCACTTGATTACCTGTTCTGTTCATTCCTCCTGGGGTACCTGGCATTGGCCACTGTCAGAAGACAGGATACTTGGCTGGATAGACCTTTGGTCTGACCCAGTATGGCCATTCTTATGTTCTTAGGTTTGAAACAGACTGTAAAGAATTTTCTGCTCTGCTGAGACTGCACTAACTAAAAACACTATTGACCTCTTTCTGGGTAAATCCAAAAGCCTTAATTCCATCCCCATTCTCTTTGACCTATCTAGCGCTTTTAACACCCTCAGCTATTCCACTTTCCTTAATTTCTTTTTCCTTTGGGCATTCACAACTCCATTCTTGACTGGTGGGTTTTTTTTTGCTTCTTGGACTGCTCCTTCATAGTCTTCAGTGGTTATTTCACCTCTTCCTACTCTCTGCTAATGTCATTGCAAGGTTCCATCAGCAGCTTCTCCCTGCTTTTATTCCTTTTTATCCCTGTCTCATGGTTGCATTCCCATTTCTGTGCTGATGATTACAAAGTCTAATTCTTCCCCCACTGTTAATATTGCATTCTTTTTGACATGTCCTGCTGTCAGTTTAGAGTTTTAGCAAAACTAGAGCTTCTCTCTCTCTCTCTTTTTTTTTTTTTTGGTCTTCCGTCCTCCTGGCCTAAAATTTTGGATTCCTCGTCACAACAGCCTTGTGCAGTAGCTGAACAGTGTAAAAAGAAGCAGGTTTTTGACTTTGAAACTATTGTTTTAGACTTAGCCTTGCTTGTCAGGAGGGCTTGTTTTTTTAAATGGCTTGTAATAAAGATTCTGTAATTGTTTGAGGTTGTTTGTAACTGTTGAAAGCTCTGTGAGTAGACCTTGTCCTGGTTTCTAATTGCAGTAAATCTTGGATTTTACAACATCTTTCAGCGTTCACAGAATAACTGTTGTGTCCATTTGATCTTTAAATTGCCAAGGTGCTGTTGCTGTCTTTTTTTTTTAAATCCCTTTTACAAACAGAAAATATTCCCTCTTAATGATTGGATGGCTGCATTGAACTTTTTTGCAACAATTGTTTTTTTTTCTTGTTTGCTTTTCTTACACTTAAAAAGGCACCATTTTATTTTTATTTACTTGTAGCCCCATCTGTTTTGATATGATTGAAGAAGCATACATGACGAAATGTGGACACAGTTTCTGGTAAGATTTTATGTTAAACAAAATGTCTGTTTATCATTTTGTAAATACTTTCATTATATTGTGGTTAGAGATTGATTTGCACTGACACTTGGAACTTAATTTTGTGTTCTTTCTTAACCCATGTTAATTGTGACTGAATGAATTAATGGGTAAAAATAGGATTTAAAATAAGGCAAAAGCTACGTGGCTGGAGTGAAAAATATATGTGCTACCACATCACTTGTAATTTAAAGCACTTGTATATTGTTTATAGTATACTGTACTTATAGGTAAAATATTGTCAGTCAACTTCCTATTGAGTAAAATTTTAAAAATTGTAGAGGATGTGATTTTGTTAACAAACTCCTTTTTGAGGGGAGAATTTACTTGTCACTCTTGAAACCATGGCATCCCCCTCTTCCCTTGTCTTCAAGTATCTGTTTTTTGCAAAGTTTTACTAGGAATTGCCATATTGGATCATACCCAACATCCATCTACTGCAGTATCCAGTCTCCTGCAGTGGGTAGGGCTAGATGTTTCAGAGGAGGTCATAAGAATCCTGCAGAAGGCAGATGTGGTATAATTTTGCCCCCCACATTAGTGGTCCTTATGATCTGATAGTTAGAGGTCAGCTTAAGCCAGGGGTGGGCAAAGTTTTTGGCCTTAGGGCCACATTGGGGTTATGAAATTGTATGGGGGGGCCAGGTAGGGAAGGCTGTGCTTCCTCAAACAGCCTGGTCCCTGCCCCCCCCTTCCCACCCCCTCCCGGGACCCCACCCCCTCTCCAACCCCCCGTCCCCTGACTGCCCCAATCCCTATCCACACCCCTGACCGCCTCCCCCGAACCTCCTCCCCATCCAACTACTCCCTGTCCCCTGACTGCCCCCCTGGGATTCCCTGCCCCTTATCCAACTTCCTCCCCCCCCCCGCTCTCTGCCCCCTTACCATGCTGCTCAGAGCAGTAGGACTGTCAGCTGGAGGGAGCCAGCCGTGCTGCCTGGCAGGAGCTTGTAGCCCTGCCACCCAGAGCGCTGGCGGAATGGTGAGCTGAGGCTGCGTGGGAGTGGGGACAGCAGGGGAGGGGCCAGGGGTAGCCTCCCTGGCTGGGAGCTCAAGGGCTAGGTAGGACGGTCCGTGGGCCGTATGTGGCCTGCCGGCCGTAGTTGGCCCACCTCTAGCTTCAGCCCTGAAGCATAAAGCTTAATATTCCATGTGCATTTTGCATACAGTTAAAATAGAAAGAACTCTTGTGAGTTTTCTCATTCTTTTGGTACATTAACTGATCTTTTAGTAACACTTAATATTAGGCTCATCCTACAGATTAAGTTTTGTAGTGTGGAATATACTTCTCCCCAGCAGTATTATGCTTCCAGGAGAAGTAGCTGCTGACTTCTTCAACTATGTGCCATATGCAGCATTTTGTGCTTGTTGCAAGTCCTTTGAAGTGTCCATGGTACAGCACCAATCAAATAATATCAGTCCATTGTTCCAGTCACTAATCTGAGGAGTGAGATACTACAATAGTAATGTCACAGAGATGGATGATTGTCCTTGCCAGCAAGGTCCAGTGTCTGTTTAGTGTGTCCCTGGGATTCCTAGCAGTGAAGCAGAAAGCCCCTTATGGCTTGACATTTATTAATCCACTCTGCTGAAAGGAAGTGGGAGAAGCTGAGACCAAAGATGCTTTGTCTGTGTTTCATTTAAAGCTACTGTGGGTGCCAGATAATCCTGTAGCCTAGGGATGATGCAGTTTGCCAGAATTGTCAAAAACTTAGTAAAATTACTTTATACAGACTCCAGACACTGCTGTCATGTACTGTGGCTTATAAAAGTCGTAAATGCTGCCAGGCTGTGCTATGCAGAGCATTTACTGACTTCAGATGTAAGATATGGGTCTCCTTGTTGGCACAGACACTTGTATGTTATATACTGCCCTTCAACCCGATTTATGAGCTGAGTGACTTCCTTAACCTGTGGCAGAAACATGATTTTGGCCTATCCAAGTTTTGGATATGAAGCTTTAAATTGCCTTTTTGCTTTAGGACGTTACTTGTTAATATTGGAACATCCTGGTATCACTCCCTTCTAGATCCATCCTTGTGCTCCATTTACAGCTGTTATCTAACAGGGTGTATGGAACACCTCATCAAGTGCTGATATATTATTTTTCTGCTGTTATCTGGACTACACTTTCATTGTGCCTTTTTCCTCATGGCCTCTAACTTGTTTTATTTCTTGCTTTCCTCGAACAGCTATAAATGTATTCATCAGAGTCTGGAGGATAACAACAGATGCCCCAAATGTAACTATGTGGTTGATAACATAGACCATCTTTACCCCAACTTTTTAGGTGAGTCTTAGGTTTAATTGTTTGCATTAGAAACACTGTCTCAGGATAAGAATTTAGCAGTAGTAAAGACAGCCATGCAAAATTGTCCTGTAAACTTACAATTCCAGGTACAAAATCGACTCATCAGCCCTCATGCTTGTGACTGTATCCGGTGGGGAGGGGCAGGTGGTGTAAATTGACATAGCACCCCTGATGTCAATGGAGCTATGCCAATCTACATTAGATGAGTATTATTAGATCATTATTATTGGTGCTCTATAAGAAGCAAAATGAAGACCATAGATTTATGAACTGATTTTACTCTACCTTTTACACCATATTTTTGGCTATAAGGTATTTACAAGGTGCAGCCATTGTAAGTTACAAGACTGTGTGATACAATTTTACCTGGGGTTTAGACTTGGGTTACATGTGCCATGAGGCATCGTGTGGCATGTATATCTTAATTTTCCCATGTATTTCTATCCTAATGAATAAAAATTTAAAGATTGAGGCAAGGGAGGGAAAGAAGATTTAAAGGAGAGAAGACAGGTGGACTAGGAAATACTCTGGTGTTTGAGAAATATGTCAACTTTAGTAGTTTCGTGTGTTGAGCTGCTATTTTAAGTAAAATAGCAAATGAAAGGTCAGTAACGTGGGAACACTTCAAAATCAATTATCTCAAATCCGAAATGTATTAAGTTAAAAAAATAAAGGACAATTCCTTCCCTTCCTCAGTAAGGGTTGGAACCTAGAATGATGGACTGGATATTCTTAATCATGGAACTAGTCCGTGTCAGGAGGAAAGAAGGAAACTATAGTGTTTCAGATACTTGTCTCTTTTGTAAAATGCATTTAGATCTGGATGGGATACCCTATATAAGGACTTGTTTACACAGGAAAAAATCCTGCAGTAACTAGCATGTGCTAAAAGAAAAGGAGTACTTGTGGCACCTTAGAGACTAACCAATTTATTTGAGCATAAGCTTTCGTGAGCTACAGCTCACTTCATCGAATGCATACTGTGGAAAGTGTAGAAGATCTTTTTATATACACACAAAGCATGAAAAAATACCTCCTCCCACCCCACTTTCCTGCTGGTAATAGCTTATCTAAAATGACCACTCTCCTTACAATGTGTATGATAATCAAGGTGGGCCATTTCCAGCACAAATCCAGGGTTTAACAAGAACGTCGGGGGGGAGGGGTAGGAAAAAACAAGGGGAAATAGGTTACCTTGCATAATGACTTAGCCATTCCCAGTCTCTATTCAAGCCTAAGTTAATTGTATCCAATTTGCAAATGAATTCCAATTCAACAGTTTCTCGCTGGAGTCTGGATTTGAAGTTTTTTTTCTTGTAATATAGCAACTTTCATGTCTGTAATCGCGTGACCAGGGAGATTGAAGTGTTCTCCGGCTGGTTTATGTATGTTATAATTCTTGACATCTGATTTGTGTCCATTTATTCTTTTACGTAGAGACTGTCCAGTTTGACCAATGTACATGGCAGAGGGGCATTGCTGGCACATGATGGCATATATCACATTGGTGGATGTGCAGGTGAACGAGCCTCTGATAGTGTGGCTGATGTTATTAGGCCCTGTGATGGTGTCCCCTGAATAGATATGTGGGCACAGTTGGCAACGGGCTTTGTTGCAAGGATAGGTTCCTGGGTTAGTGGTTCTGTTGTGTGGTATGTGGTTGCTGGTGAGTATTTGCTTCAGGTTGGGGGGCTGTCTGTAGGCAAGGACTGGCCTGTCTCCCAAGATTTGTGAGAGTGTTGGGTCATCCTTCAGGATTGGTTGTAGATCCTTAATAATGCTTTGGAGGGGTTTTAGTTGGGGGCTGAAGGTGACGGCTAGTGGCGTTCTGTTATTTTCTTTGTTGGGCCTGTCCTGTAGTAGGTGACTTCTGGGTACTCTTCTGGCTCTATCAATCTGTTTCTTTACTTCCGCAGGTGGGTGTTGTAGTTGTAAGAATGCTTGATAGAGATCTTGTAAGTGTTTGTCTCTGACTGAGGGGTTGGAGCAAATGCGGTTGTATCGCAGAGCTTGGCTGTAGACGATGGATTGTGTGGTGTGGTCAGGGTGAAAGCTGGAGGCATATAGGTAGGAATAGCAGTCAGTAGGTTTCCGGTATAGGGTGGTGTTTATGTGACCATCGTTTATTAGCACTGTAGCGTCCAAGAAGTGGATCTCTTGTGTGGACTGGACCAGGCTGAGGTTGATGGTGGGATGGAAATTGTTGAAATCATGGTGGAATTCCTCAAGGGCTTCTTATATAGTGCAAGTAGAGTAGGGGCGTTAGGGGACGAGAGCTGAGGAAGCGTTGTTCTAAGTCAGTCATAAAAATGTTGGTATACTGTGGGGCCATGTGGGTACCCATAGCAGTGCTGCTGATCTGAAGGTATACATTGTCCCCAAATGTGAAATAGTTATGGGTGAGGACAAAGTCACTAAGTTCAGCCACCAGGTTAGCCGTGACATTATCGGGGATAGTGTTCTTGACGGCTTGTAGTCCATCTTTGTGTGGAATGTTGGTGTAGAGGACTTCTACATCCATAGTGGCCAGGATGGTGTTATCAGGAAGATCACCGATGGGTTGTAGTTTCCTCAGGAAGTCAGTGGTGTCTCGAAGGTAGCTGGGAGTGCTGGTAGCGTAGGGCCTGAGGAGGGAGTCTACATAGCCAGACAATCCTGCTGTCAGGGTGCCAATGCTGGAGATGATGGGGCGCCCAGGATTTCCAGGTTTATGGATCTTGGGTAGTCGATAGAATATCCCAGGTCAGGGTTCCAGGGGTGTGTCTGTGCGGATTTGTTCTTGTGCTTTTTCAGGGAGTTTCTTGAGCAAATGGTGTAGTTTCTTTTGGTAACCCTCAGTGGGATCAGAGGGTAATGGCTTGTAGAAAGTGGTGTTGGAGAGCTGCCTAGCAGCCTCTTGTTCATATTCCGACCTATTCATGATGACAACAGCACCTCCTTTGTCAGCCTTTTTGATTATGATGTCAGAGTTGTTTCTGAGGCTGTGGATGGCATTGTGTTCTGCACGGCTGAGGTTATGGGGCAAGTGATGCTGCTTTTCCACAATTTCAGCCTGTGCACGTCGGCGGAAGCACTCTATGTAGAAGTCCAGTCTGCTGTTTTGACCTTCAGGAGGAGTCCACCTAGAATCCTTCTTTTTGTAGTGTTGGTAGGGAGGTCTCTGTGGATTAGTATGTTGTTCAGAGGTATGTTGGAAATATTCCTTGAGTCGGAGACGTCGAAAATAGGATTCTAGGTCACCACAGAACTGTATCATGTTCGTGGGGGTGGAGGGGCAGAAGGAGAGGGCCCGAGATAGGACAGCTGCTTCTGCTGGGCTGGATAGGTTAACAGTATTGCTGGGTGGGTTGAGGGAACCATTGCTGTGGCCCCTTGTGGCATGTAGTAGTTTAGGAAGTTTAGTGTCGTTTTTCTTTTGTAGAGAAGCAAAGTGTGTGTTGTAAATGGCTTGTCTAGTTTTAGTAAATTCCAGCCACGAGGAAGTTTGTGTGGAAGGTTGGTTGTTTATGAGAATATCCATTTTTGAGAGCTCATTCTTAATCTTTCCCTGTTTGCTGTAGAGGATGTTGATCAACAGCCCCCCAACCTGAAGCAAATGCTCACCAGCAACCACATACCACACAACAGAACCACTAACCCAGGAACCTATCCTTGCAACAAAGCCCGTTGCCAACTGTGCCCACATATCTATTCAGGGGACACCATCACAGGGCCTAATAACATCAGCCACACTATCAGAGGCTCGTTCACCTGCATATCTACCAATGTGATATATGTCATCATGTGCCAGCAATGCCCCTCTGCCATGTACATTGGTCAAACTGGACAGTCTCTACGTAAAAGAATAAATGGACACAAATCAGATGTCAAGAATTATAACATACATAAACCAGCCGGAGAACACTTCAATCTCCCTGGTCACGCGATTACAGACATGAAAGTTGCTATATTACAAGAAAAAAACTTCAAATCCAGACTCCAGCGAGAAACTGAATTGGAATTCATTTGCAAATTGGATACAATTAACTTAGGCTTGAATAGAGACTGGGAATGGCTAAGTCATTATGCAAGGTAACCTATTTCCCCTTGTTTTTTCCTACCCCTCCCCCCCGACGTTCTTGTTAAACCCTGGATTTGTGCTGGAAATGGCCCACCTTGATTATCATACACATTGTAAGGAGAGTGGTCATTTTAGATAAGCTATTACCAGCAAGAGAGTGGGGTGGGAGGAGGTATTTTTTCATGCTTTGTGTGTATATAAAAAGATCTTCTACACTTTCCACAGTATGCATCCGATGAAGTGAGCTGTAGCTCACGAAAGCTTATGCTCAAATAAATTGGTTAGTCTCTAAGGTGCCACAAGTACTCCTTTTCTTTTTGCGAATACAGACTAACACGGCTGTTACTCTGAAACCTAGCATATGCTAGTTACTCTGCACTATCTACCTGTGTGGACACATTTACCATGCATTGAGTGCCTTTGAGTACATTAGCTTAATGCACATTAACTTTAAACAGGCTAAGGGCTCTATTAGTGCACAGTAAAGTTGTCCACATGGTGAGTTAGTGCAGGGTAGCTAGTGCTATTTAAATTCAAACCCAAACTTACTGCACACTAATTTCCCCATGTAGACAAGCTGAAAGACCTTTGTTCTACAGGTTATATTTAGCGGGTGAAGCCCTGTGCCCCCACAGAGCTCCACTGAATTCTTTCAGAAAAATACAACAATTGCAGTTGGGTGTTTTGAGATTATTTTAAATTTTCCGTTCTATGTTTTCATGCCTTGATATTTCATTCAGACTTTATCTTCCTGATTCACATTGAGTCTCCAATATTTATGTAGCTGTGCACTTGTATAAATCATATTTCTGAGATTCTCCCCTCTCAAGAATGTGGAAAGAGGCATTCCTATTGAGTGTGCTCCTATGCATGCACAAACTTCCTTTGTTACAATTATAGACTGAAATGTAGAAATATTTTTTTTGGCAATTAAAGTGAGAGTGAACTACTCTGATATATAATCTTTTCTTTAATAAAGCTTTTTGAGGGTTTTAAAGGCGGTCAAAAGTCAAGGGTGTGTTGCGTGTATGGGGAACAGGGGTTGTTAGTCAAAGAGTGAGTAGGGGGAGACTAAATCAATATGTGAAACAAAATTATACCAAAAAAGAAATGTTTAAGGAATATGTTGCTAGAAGGTAGTTGTTGTTTGGGGGCTTTTACAATTTTTTTTTGGCCTGTTTGATGCTACTTGCTAATCTGCAGTGAATCAGTTACCACTTCATTTCTTTCCGGTACTTTAATCCCAAAGCTGAAATAATTAATCTAATTAAATGATCATAGTAAATTACAAAGGTGAACTAAAGTTTTGGGAACTACACCTGCCCCTAACTCCTGGTCCTGCTGACTTTTTTTTGTTTTGTTTTTTTTGTTTTTTTGAATCTTTACCGTCACATTTTCTTTAATTTAAAAAAGTCTCTTCCCATGTTGCTATAGGAAAGACACACAGACGAAAGAGGGAAAGTGACTAGGTAGGGAAAAGGAAAAGGAGTCCTTGTGGCACCTTAGAGACTAACAAATTTATTAGAGCATTCCACTCATACGGCTAAATTCAGTGCCTTGCATAATGACAGGTTTCAGAGTAGCAGCCGTGTTAGTCTGTATCCGTAAAAACAAAAGGAGTACTTGCGGCACCTTAGACTAACAAATTTATTAGCGTTAGTGTAAGGTGTCACAAGTACTCCTTTTCTTTTTACGGATACAGAATAACAGGGCTGCTACTCTGAAACCTGTCATTATGCTAGGTAGGGAAAATCAGTGAAACTGCTTGTAGATAACATTGTCAAATGTTCCCAGTAATCTGCAAAATTTTTTCTCTAATCTTTGTTAATCTTGTTACAATTAACACTTAGTAGGTAAAACAGTCTTCAAGCAGAATTTTTTTTAAATGTTCATTAAGTTATCCACCATCTCTTGCCCTAACATGGTGTTTTCTTTCTGATTTGTAGTGAATGAGCTCATCCTCAAACAGAAGCAAAGATTTGAGGAAAAGCGATTCAAACTGGACCATTCAGTGAGTAGCACCGTATGTTTCAACTCTTTTTTCTTTGTTTTTATTAATGGTCTTGGATGGGAATTGCTCCACAGCCTAGGTTAATGCAGGACAAATCTCACTATTGATGTGAAAGAGTTTACTTTAGGGGGAATAAGCCTGTATCAGTAGCTTTGGATCACAGCAGCTGTGTTCATTCTGGCTGTCCCTTCCTTCTCTGCCTTCCATCATGAATGAAGCAAGCAGTTGTCCTACTTTAGATGTCATCAGACATACTTAATAGTAGGGCTGTTGATTGATTGCAGTTAACTCACACAATTAACTAAAAAAAATTAATCGTGATTAATTGCAGTTTTAATCACACTGTTAAACAATAGAATACCAATTGAAATTTATTAAATAATTTGGATGATTTTATATATTTTTCAAATATTTGATTTCAGTTTACAACACAGAATACAAAGTGTACAGTACTCACTTTATAATTTTTATTATGGATATTTGCACTGTAAAAATGATAAACACAAGAAATAGTATTTTTCAGTTCACCTCATACAAGTACTGTAGTGCAATCTCTTTATCATGAAAGTGCAATTTACAAATGCAGATTTTTTTTGTTACATAATTTCACTCAAAAACAAAACAATGTAAAACTTTAGCGCTTACATGTCCGCTCAGTCCTACTTCTTGTTCAGCCAATTGCTCAGACAAACAAGTTGTTTACATTTATGGGAGATAATTCTGTCTACTACTCAATTACATTGTCACCTGAAAACGAGAACAGGTGTCTGCATGGTACTGTTGTAGCCAGCATTGCTAGGTATTTATGTGCCAGGTATGCTAAACATTCGTATGCCCCTTCATGCTTCGGCCACCATTCCAGAGGACATGCTTCCATGCTGATGACGCTCGTTTAATGCATGATTTCTTTAATTAAAATTGTGACAAATCCTTGGGGGAGAATGGTATGTCTCCTTCCTTGTTTTACCTGCATTCTGCCATATATTTCATGTTATGGCAATCTCAGATGATGACCCAGCACATGTTCATTTTAAGAACGCTTTCACTGGAGATTTGACAAAATGCAAAGAAGGTACCAATGTGAGATTTTCTAAAAGTAGCTACAGCACTTGACCCAAAGTTTAAGAATCTGAAGTGCCTTCCAAAATCTGAGAAGGATGAGGTGTGGAGCATGTTTTCCAAAGTCTTAAAAGAGCAACAGTCTGATGCGGAAACTACAGAACCTGAACCACCAAAAAAAAAAAAAAAATCAACCTTTTGTGGGTAGCATCTGCTCGGATGATGAAAATGAACGTGCATCAGTCCCCACTGCTTTGGGTCATTATCGAGCAGAACCTGTCGTTAACATGGCAGCATGTCCTCTGGGATGGTGGTTGAAGCATGAAGGGACATATGACTCTTTAGTGCATCTGACAAGTAAATATCTTGCGATGACAGCTACAACAGTGCCATGCAAACGCCTGTTCTCATTTTCAGGTGATGTAAACAAGAAGCAGGCGGCATTATCTCCCATAAATGTAAATAAACTTGTTTGTCTGATTGGCAGAACAAGAAGTAGGACTGAATGGACTCGTAGGCTCTAAAGTTTTACGTTGTTTTGTTTTTGAGTGCAGTTATTTTTTGTACATAATTCTACATTTGTAAGTTCAACTTTCATGATAAAGAAGTTGCACTACAGTACTTATATTTTTCAATTCACATAATAAATTTCTTATTTTTTATAGTACAAGTATTTGTAACAAAACAAAAATGTAAAGTGAGCACCGTACACTTTGTATTCTGTGTTCTAATTGAAATAAATATATTTGAAAATGTAGAAAACATTCAAAAGTATTTAAAAGGTATTCTGTTTAACAAAACAATTAATTGATTTTTTTGATCATGTGATAGAGGTTGGGAAGTTCCCTGAAAAAAAAGCATACTTGTCAAAAGGGAATAATCAGGTATTCGTTGCTGGAAATAGTAGCTATATGCTGAGCCTGGTAGCAAGTTTGTGGCACCAATCAACTAATACGTATGATCATGCCAGCCATAAAAGGGTAAGGAAATCCTTTGGAGCATTGAAATCTTGGCTCTGATCCCAGGTAAAATATCCATTCTAGATATTGTTTGTGTCACAAAATGAGAATACAGTTTAGCATAATTAGTAGTTTCTGCTGATTAGTCCCTGGACTGGAAAAGTAGAGGGTCTAGTGTGTTAGGACCAGAATGTATACACAGAGCTGTTGGGCAGGAAACTTGAACAACATCAGCCTGCACTATGCCTGACTTCATTTACCTCATTTATGTATTTTATAAATCCAGTTTAGAAAGCAATATTAAAAGGCTTGAAACTCCATGTTTTTCATTGTCAGTGAAGGAGAACAATTAGCCTTCCACTAAGGTAGCTTGAGCTTTGGGACTGTGTTGTACAAATGACTACTTTTACTAATTAGCTGGTTTTTTAAAAAAGTTAACTAAGGCTAACCTGAGCTACAGAAACGTGTAGGGGGTTCTTGCTTAATTTAAAAGAGCATGCTGAAGTATCCCCAAGTCTTCCTGTCCAGTTGAATTGGACCTTCAGCTAAAAGCACATGTACTAGCTAACCGATTTTGCCCAGTCCCTTTAGTAATTGTTTAAGGCAAGTTTCATAATGTATACAATAAGCAAATGTGGCATCTTTATCCATACGACATGTGAATCATGCGCCTCAAGGAGTTGACTTATTTCTTTAAAAATGTGTGTTCCTCATTTTATTGGAATGTTTTTCCTAAATATTCAGCCTGATGTACCAGTTTAGCAATGTGGAGATCATTTTTGATTTTGGCAGAATTCTGTTTTCCTTCAAGACTAGCCCTTATTATAATTATACCCTTTTTAAGATCTCCTCAAATTAAAAATTCTTGGATCTTCAAAAATATCACCTTTTGTAGTGATAATCAAGTTGGGCCATTTCCAGCAGTTGACAAGAACATCTGAGGAACAGTGGGGGTGGGGAATAAACATGGGGAAATAGTTTTACTTTGTGTAACGACCCATCCACTCCCAGTCTCTATTCAAGCCTAGTTAATTGTATCCAGTTTGCAAATGAATTCCAGTTCAGCAATCTCTCGTTGGAGTCTGTTTCTGAAGTTTTTTTGTTGAAGAATTGCAACTTTTAGGTCTGTAATCGAGTGACCAAAGAGTTTGAAGTGTTCTCCGACTGGTTTTTGAATGTTATAATTCTTGACGTCTGATTTGTGTCCATTTATTCTTTTACGTAGAGACTGTCCAGTTTGACCAATGTACATGGCAGAGGGGCATTGCTGGCACATGATGGCATATATCACATTGGTAGATGTACAGGTGAACAAGCCTCTGATAGTGTGGCTGATGTGATTAGGCCCTATGATGGTGTCCCCTGAATAGATATGTGGGCACAGTTGGCAACGGGCTTTGTTGCAAGGATAGGTTCCTGGGTTAGTGGTTCTGTTGTGTGGTGTGTGGTTGCTGGTGAGTATTTGCTTCAGGTTGTGGGGCTGTCTTTAAGCAAGGACTGGCCTGTCTCCCAAGATCTATGAGTGATGGGTTGTCCTTCAGAGTAGGTTGTAGATCCTTGATGATGTGTTGGAGAGGTTTTAGTTTGGGGTTGAAGGTGATGGCTAGTGACGTTCTGTTATTTTCTATATTCTTGTTTCATTACTCCTATTTAGTGCTGTAGCACACACATGCTATAGCAAAACAATAAACTTTGTCAACTGGCATATTGGGTAGTTGACAGCTTTTATCCCCAGTCCTATGAATGCATATGCTTAACTGGAAATGTGTGAGTAATCAATAAATGAAAGTCGGAGAACTTTCACCAATCTCTTAGATCCTGCACTGTAACAAAACATCTTGAATTATCGAGTCAGATAGTCCTATCTAGGTCAGTTTTTATCTGGCTTTGTTTCTTAGTGAGAGCTAATGATATTTCTCTACTTGTTTTGCCAATTCCTGAAGTTTTTAATGGCACCAGACTTGTGGTAAACACACAAGCCTACCTTACAGCTCTACCCTAGCATAGGGTAGTTCCTCAAATACTTCCCCAATAAGATAAGTTGTTGCTGGGGTGTGATAAATAAGTTTCCTATACTTTTGGGGAATTCTTTCTGAAAACTACTTTGTTGTGTGCTTTACAAAGGATGAAATACTGGAATACTAGTTTAAATATCTTATGTCAAAGAACTCTGACTGGTATTTACTTTCTCTTCCTCTGCTCTCTTGTTCTCTTTTTTAGAATGGACACAGATGGCAGATATTTCAAGACTTATTGGGAACTGATCAAGATAACCTTGACTTGGCCAATGTTAACTTGATGTTGGAGCTGCTTGTGCAAAAGAAGAAGCAGTTGGAGGCAGTAAGGAGCTTTGCTTATCTTATTTCATTTACTAATAAATTGTGATTAATCACAGGCATCTTCCTTTTTTTTTTTTTTGCAATGGAATGTAATACAGAATTAATCTTAAGGTTTTTTTATAGGATCCCATTGCTCTAGTATTGAGTGCTTCTCCATCTCACTGACTTTAATGACCGCAAACTACGTCCAGTATTGGAGTACGATACGAAAACCTTGTGATCTCACTTGAGGCAGGATCATGCTGAGAGAAAATATCAGTGGGAAAAGGAATACAGAAAGTGACCTGCCAAGCAAGTGGCAGTTAGAGTACACTGTCTTTGATATAATTAGACATTTGCTAAGTGAACATTTGACTTCAAGATGTGTAAAATGTGAGGATCTAACTAAACAATAACCCTTTAAGGGGACTCCATATGTTTACTAATTTATTTACACCTTGAAGGAATTACTGTGAAACATGAGATTTTTTTAGCTCTTACAGCTCCAAATGTGAAGCAAAGAGAATTTATGAGCAATCAGCATATCTAAAAATCAGGACCTTTCCCTTTTTATGCTTAAAGGAAAACCGTGGTTGTCTTGCGTATCATAGCAGTATGAAAGTTTATAAGCTAAAAGCAATCTGTCACTATGAATAAACTGAAGTCTATTTGTTTTCGTATAAGTTTTGTTATAATTGGTAACTGAGTATAATTCTGGAACTATCTTGCTGGAAAACTATCAGCTGAAACCAACAATGTGAGAGGAGACAGGCCTAATGCAACCCACTCTATGAAAAAGTGTGTGTAAGACGGTCAGTGGTCCAATATTGGAAGTGGAATTGGATGGCAGTTGATACATGGGTGGGCAGACTTTAGAACAATAATTTTTGATTAAGATCTCTTAGGGCAGTAGTTCTCAAACTTTTGTAGTGGTGACCCCTTTCACATCGCAAGCCTCTGAGTGTGACACATCCCCCCCCCCCCCCGATAAATGAAAAACACTTTTTTGTATATTTAACAACATTATAAATGCTGGATGCAAAGCGGGGTTTGGGGTAGAGGTTGACAGCTCATGACCCCCCCCGATAATAACTTCGTGACCCCCTCGGGGGTTCTCAGACTGGGGGTTGGGACCCCTGTCTTAGAGGCTTTGAAGATCAATTAAGTCATAATCTTTTTTGCTTGGTTTTGGCTTCTGTGAGGAAATGAAATACACTAAAAATAAAATCCCTTTTACAATTCTGGTTTAAAAAAAAAAATTGCTAGATTAAATGTAAGAGGTCTTTTAATCAGATTGTGTGGGGATTTACACGTGTACTTTCCTGTGTATAGAGGACAGACCCCTTGGTGGGTATTGTTTAAAGTTTTCCATTGGGCTGGGGTCAGACTTTATAGTAAATCTGTTTTCTTCTGGAAGCCTTGGAATGACAAATGTGAAACGCTTCAGGTTGTCACCACAAATATGTTTGAGGAGAGAGCTTTGAAATGGAGAGCTCATATCCTGTTCAGTTATAAGACTATCCTCTTCAGAATAAAAGCATCATCTAGGTGTAAGAATAGTAATGCTTCACTTACACTTTTGGAGGTACCCATTCAGATTTAAAAACTAAGTGTTCCTCTGTACATTTTACCTACCTCCTTTTCTGGTTATTTTGGAAACACATTACAATAGCAAAAGGACCAGACCAGAAAAGTAGTTTATCCCATCCTTCTCAGCTGTTTTTCCCTTTAATGGATCCCTGATGCCCCTTCCCCGGCTCACCTTTGAGCTCATACTCAGTCCTACAGTAAACTAATTTTTCTAAGATCTGTGCAAATTGCTCTTCCATGTGTCTGTCTAGTATTAGTACATTCCTGTCACCTTCTTGCCGCCTCAAGTTTCGGGTCATCGCAAAGGAAAATATAAGGAATTAATTTATTTAGAAAACTGAAACACCTCTTTCCCTTTCCCAAAACAGCTAATCTTCACTAGCGAGTTTATTTTCCATTACCGAAGCTCTTTTTGTGCTTCTGTGGAATGTTCCTTTGGGGAAAGGGTTGTCATTTTCTGAAACCAAATTATTCCACTTAATTGGTTGATTAGAGGTGAAAGCTCAAGATCTGCCAACAGTGGAAGATGCGCAGCCTTTGTTCCAAAAGGGTCTGAAATCACTCCACCTGGGAGGAGAATGAAAAATGTGCTTTGCCTATTAATCACCTGTAATACACAAAAGGAGAATATTTGTGTCCTATAATGTAAAACTTTGCCATGTGCCAACCAGAACTTTGAAACCTAGAAGCAAAGCAAAACCACCTTACTTGTAATTGTGACTTAATATGTTGCTCCTTTCCCCTACTTCTAAGTGAAAGTGATTTGTTTCCATGCCTGCTATGAATTGTTGTGCATAAAATTAATCTACTTTTTCTCTTTAAATTTAATTTTCTGTTACAGGAGTCCCATGCTGCCCAATTACAGATCCTTATGGAATTCCTCAAGGTTGCCAGGAGAAATAAAAGAGAGGTAGCAGATTTTGTTTTTGTTTTTGCTACTGGGTGAGGCTTTTTCCTTCTTTAAAAGGGGGGAGCAGGGAAATAGGTCAGCCTGAAATGATCTCTCTGAGGAGAAAATTCTCTGCTGCAGAGGGATATTTGAAATACCTGGATTTCCAGGAGAATAGATCAGTTTAAATATGACAGCTTCGGTCTTTAACCTCCATTGCCTTTTTGTTTCATATTGTTGGTTGCATACATGTGGAGAGGGGAAATTGTCAAGGAAAGAGTCCACGCTGGCAACTTGTGGTAAATTCGTGAAACAAGATGCAAGTGTGAGGGGGAAAATGGAAAGTGAGGGAGGGAAGGCTGGTAGGCACCTTTTAAAATTGTTTCCAAAATTATATCAAAAATGTCAATGCTTTCAGGATCTGGAAGAATGTTAATGTCTCTCCGTCACAGTACCAAATGGGGATAAGTTGCAAAGATCAGTAAGAACAAAGAACTAATATAAAGGCACTCAGGATGTTGAAAAAAAACAACAAAAAAGCAGGCAGGACATAACAAAATGAGATTAAAATAGAAAAAATAAAAGGAAGGTAATATAGCACAGAAAAAATCCAAAACACAGATTATCAAAAGTCTGGGAAGAGAGATTTAGAAAGTAGTAATGCCAAAATAGAACAAGAGACATGGAGGTGATGGTGGACAGAAAATTGGCTCTTCTACCAACATACAGCATTACAAACTCATACTTCATGTGGATTTCTCTTCCCGCACCCCTTGTGGGTTTTTTTTTGAGAGTTGATGTGTAGGTATCGTGTCCCAAACCATGGAAGTGGTGGTCCCATTTGCTACATGAGTAATGAAACTGCACCTGGAATATTATACAATGCTGCGCACCTTAGTATCAGAAATATTCCAACCAATTGGACAGAATTGCAATAAGTCTCCAAAATGGCTGGGGATCTGGAGGGGCTGATTTCTGCTGAAAGACTTAAAGTAGAACATGTATAGCTTTGCTGTTTGACTAGTGAGGGGGGCAACAAGGGTGCAACCCTAAAATATCTGCAGGCTGTAAATACCAATGATGGTAGAGGAACTGTCCAGAGTGGCCAAGCAAGTTATAAGGCCTGATCCAAAGCCCATTGAAGTTGGTGGCACTCTTCAGTGGATGAGGCCCCTAGGGAGGAGTAATGAGATGGAACTGAGAGAGAAATTTAGGTTCAATATCAGGAATAATTCCTTAAATACAGGGTTTATTAGACTAGGAGTAACTTCCAATATGAAATGGTGAAAGCACTATTACTTAAGTAGTTTAAAACTAGACTTTAACGTAGACTGCTGTTCTGCATTGGTTGGGCATGGTCTTTGAGAACCTATTGGATCTCTTCCCTCTCTAATTTCTGTAACTTATAAAGCATGCTCTTTGTAGTTCTTAAACTTCTCTTAAACGTCTTAATGCACAATTTAAAAGAAGGAAGGGGAAAAAGCTTTGCTCAGAGACGTATGTTCATTTTGGGTGGTAGCAGAACTTGGATTGGTTTGTTCCTATGTTTAGCACCTATCTTTGTATTCGGTTAGGGTGACCAGATGTCCTGATTTTATAGGGACAGTCCCAATATTTGGGGCTTTTTCTTATATAGGCACCAATTACCTCCCTACCCCGTCCCGATTTTTTTTCCCCTCCACATTTGCTAACTGGTCACCCTATCTTCAGTATCTCTGCTTTCATCTTAAATAAATAAAAAACCTCTACTTGTTACGGTTATGAAGAAAACTTCCAAAATTTGAATCAAGATAGGTCTTCACTGCAGTTAACTTGGCTGTTACTCTGGCATTACCCTGCTCCCCTCCCATCCCCACACACAATCCTTTCATCTGAGTTTGACACCTTCAACCCAGGCTAGCTGGCTTGTCTGTGGCTGAAGGCTAAAACCTGAGTGAGGTTTCCATTTCAGCTGGTAACCCTCCCACTTTGCAGTGAGACTGCACAACTAAACCACTTGAGTGCTGGTAGTCCTTCAGTGCCTTCCCACAGTTCTTCCTGTATGCCCAGAAGGACAAACAAGTTCTCCCAAAAGAATCAGAGTGGTTCAGCTTGCAGCAGTACAAAGAATTCCTAGCACTGCACCCAGGTGAGTGCAGCACCAGTGAGGACACAATAATTCTAGTATCGCTTTGCACTGTGGCTGCTCATTCCCGGCTGTGGCTAACCTTGAGTGCTGGTCACTTGAGTTAGCTTTGCAGTGGAGGCATGCCCCTAGTGTAGGGGTGGGCAAACTACGGCCCACGAGCCATTTTAATCCGGCCCTTGATCTCCTGCTGGGGAATGGGGTCTGGGGCTTGCCCTGCTCTGTGCGGCTCCTGGGGAGCAGGGTTGGTGGCCGCTCCACATGGCTCCCGGTAGTACTGACGTGTCCCCCCTCCAGCTCCTACACATGGAGGAGCTAGTTGGCTCCGTTCTGCATACTGCCCCTGCCCCAAGCGCCACCCCTGCAGCTCCCATTGGCCAGGAACTGTGGCCAATGGAGCTGCAGGGGCAGTGCCTGCGGACGGGGCAGCGCACAGCAGAGCCGCCTGGCCGCACCTCTGTGTAGGAGCCAGAGGGGGGACATGCCATTGCTTCCAGGAGCTGCTTGAGGTAAGTGCCACCTGGAGTCTGCACCCATGAGCTACCCCTCCCTGTGCCCCAACCCCCTATCCCAGTCTTGATCCCCTTCCAAACCTCTCGGTCCCAGCCTGGAGCCCCTTCCTGTACCCCAAACCCCTCATCTCCAACCCCACCCCAGAGCCTGGACCCCCAGCCGGAGCCCTCACTCCATCTCCCGCCCTCTGAACCCCTCGGTCTCAGCCCAGAGCACCCTCCTACACCACAAACCCCTCATCCCCAGCCCCACCCCGGAGCTCACACATCCAGCCAGCGCCCTCACCCCCTCCCACACCCAACCCCAATTTCCTGAGCATTCATGGCCTGCCATACAATTTCTATACCCAGATGTGGCCCTCGGGTCAAAAAGTTTGCCCACCCCTGCTCTATTGTAATCACTTTAGATATAGCTACTGGGAGCTGCCCCATTCATCCAGGTCAGGTGCTAATTCAGAAGCCTGATGATGATTAAATGTCAACATTAAGTATTTCATTCCTGATGCTCTAAAGGAGAGAGAGAATCTCAAATCTGCTCTGTTTCCTGTGAGTCTCATTTTTATGCCAGCAGTGGATGACCGTTTGGGAAAGTATAACCACATTATTTTTCCCAGTCAAGAGGGAGTCAAGCCCCAGGAGGCTAAGAACCTGTGGGCATACTAAAGGCTCAAATTTAAGATGCCTACCAGAGTTCAGAGGGCATGTACAGTCATATTTTGAATGTCTGACATGGTATTGTGAATGTCTCATTTTGGCAATTTATATGGGAGAGATTATTTTATGGATAGAACTTGAAAGAATGCCACCACCCTTTTTTCCGCTATTTGATTACAGTAAAAATGTTTGAAGACTAACTGTAACTTGATTCAGTAACTAGGCGTATGTCTACACTGCTGTTAAAGGCCATGGCTGGCCCTTGTCAGTTGACTTGGGCTCAAGCTACAGGGCCGTAAAATTGTGATGTAGACGTTCAGGCGTGGGCTGGAGCTCGAGCTCTGGAACTCCCTGAGAGGGGAGATCAAATACCTACACTGCAGTTTTTACAACCTCACAAGCCCAAGTTAGCTGACATAGGCCAGCTGCGGGTGTCTGCTTGCAGCATAGATGTACCCTAAGAGCAAGTTGGAACCTTAGGTTAGAAAAGGAGCTCTTTTTCTGAGAGTGGCAAGTGTCTGTTTTGATTTTTTTTGCATAATTTGATATTCCTTTAAGATATTATATTGTTTGGAAGCAACATTTCCTAACTTGCCCCAGTACATTATTGCAGGATTTTCTAAACAGAGGTTGATTTTTACATAACACTTGTGTTGCAGTTCCTAGACAAACTAGATAAATTCCTTGTCTGATACTGTACACTTGATAAGGTCCCAGAGTGAATTTACCAGTGCAATTCTGGATACCAGCATATTCAAAGTACATAGTAAAACAGCTACAGCACTAGTTGCAAGGAGATTGGAACAAGTTATCTGCCTATAAAATGGTTGGAATAACATGTATTGTAAACCACCAAATATGTTAGATACTATTAATTGTGAAGCTGTAAGTCCTAAGATTCTTACTGACTTTTTACTGTTACTTTGTAAAAGTAGCTTCTTGGGATTCTATATTCAGTCTCTTGATGGCTCCAGATCAGATTGGCTCAGTTTGTGTTTATAAAATGTTTTTTTTCCAATGCTTAAAACTGAAAACTCATCCTGGATTCAGAACATCAAGCTCAGTATTTTTGGGCTCTCACATTGCCAACAATAAAAATTCTGCAATTAGAATTTGTGATAACTGAGTGTGAGGACAAGAGTATTGTCCTCATTGTCTTAGATGTGTTGGGTCTGAAATAGAAATAAATAAAAAAGCTTTTGTTTTGGTCAGAAAAGTAACCAAATGCTCCTGGATGCTCTTGAAGGTCAATATTTATACTTTTATGTACTTGCACTTTGGAGTGCAAAAACATCTCTCAATTTCACATTCATTGGCCCTCTAAAAGGGAAATATAAGTTGTAGCAATTGTAGAAGAATATCCCATTAGAGTTCCTTGTTTTCACATGCTTGTAACTTTCTAAAACACTGATCTTTTGGGGCTGAAGTTATCCATGCATGATCTCTTCACAAAGACTATTTTTTTTTAAGTTTGAGCAAAATCCTTTTGTTTGGAAACATGGTGCAAAAATACCAAACTTTCCCCATGTAATTAAAATATTCTAACCACCTTTCTTTGAAAAAATCCTGTGGACAAAAATGGCTTAAGGTTGAAACTCATGGATACTAATGGCTCTGAAACAAAACTTTTAAACAAAGCAGAGGTACAACTGTTTGAAAAGTGTGTATTAATCATTCATAATAGAAAATCTATTTGTATGCAGTGCAAATTTAACATGGACATGTGTTTT